AGGGTTTAGGGCTAAAGGTTTAAGGTTTAAGGTTTAAGGTTTAGGGTCTGCCACCTGGCCTGCTGCCATTGCGATCCCTGCTCGCACGCGGATATCGCGGTGCTGTAGGTGACGAGGCTCACTGCAGAGCGAGGTCAGGATGTCTAGGGTCTGGGCTTTGGGCTTTTGGGTTTCAGAGCTAGAGTCTAAACGTTCAGGGTTTATAGGGCTTAGGGACTCAGGTTTAGGGTTTAGGGTGTAACGTTTCAGGTTTAGGGTCTAACGTTTAGGGTGTATAGATCAGCAAGAGCAGTTTATGGTGCGTGCGAAAGGCTTAGGATTTAGGCTCCAGGGGTTGGGGGGCGAGCGCGAGGCCTTAATAGGCAGCACCAACGCCCCCAAAAACAGATTCAAAATCCTGCCTCCGTCTCAACACAACTCGATGGATCTTGATTGGAATAAAGTACGGATATAAAAAAACATATATATGTATATATATATATACACATATTACTTGGGGTTATAAGTGGTTGTAGACACAGTACTCTGAATTACAATACCCAGAGAACCCAATACCCCTTAATTAAGGAATATACCTTGCATCATAATATTGAGGCCCCTATAATTTAAGGTATATTCCTTTCTTTAAGGGGTATTGGGTTCTCTAGGTACTGTACCCCCCCAAGGGTGCGATGTGAGGCGCTTTTCCATTCTTCCGGGGCGTGCAACAGAAGAGTGGAATCTGGGTGGGGGTCAGTGACTGACGCTAAGCATGGTTTAGGTTTTAGGGTTCAGGGTTCAGGGTTTAGGCAGGATTTAGGGTTCAGGGTTTAGGGTTTAGGTTTTAGGGTTCAGGGTTCAGGGTTTAGGGTTTAGGTTTTAGGGCTTAGGGTTCAAGGTTTAGGGTTTTGGGTGGTTTAGAGGAAGGCTGGTTTGACATGTATTCAACGACTTAGGCGTGTAGAGGAGTAAGGCAGGAACTGCGCAATGATGCAACAGTGTATCGGACTTCGCGTTTTTCTTTTGGGGGGAATGCGCAGTGTGTAGTATACACTGCGGCAGCACATAGTTGATGAGGTTCCTTTACTCTTCCTCAGCCACTCCAGAGTCAAAACCCATATCGTGGACCATCGCCCGCAGCCGCAGAATCCAACCCAGAAGCTTGGCATCCCAAGCCTGCCCACACCAAGTTACTCTACAGCACACCCCGATCCATCGACAGTGTGTTACACCATGACTTCGAAGGCCGAAAACCTAACCCGAACCCCCAAGACGCACGGAACCAATTGCCCATACCCATGCCACCATAAACCTTGATCCCTGAACTCTTTGAGCTCAGCCCTAAGTTCCTCGACCCGAATCCCCTCGACCCTTGTACCCCAAGCCAAACCCCAAGCCCGTAAATTCCTAAACCCTGTACCCCTAAATCCTAAATCCAACGAAACCTGACAAGCCGGTTTAGGGTTTAGGGTTTAGCTTTCAAGACCAGGGCGAAGGCCACGCTGGTTCCCCGGTGCCTTCGAGTCGCCTCTCGCGCACTTGCGATAGCAGTGCCAAGGCCTGCAGGACAGAGGTTACCTAAAGTCTCCACTGTAGTTCCCTATTTAGGTTTAACCACTTTACACTCTAGGATCCCAGCCATAAAGTTGGTTCATCAAGAATATGAACTACAATGGAGACTATAGGT